GCGGGGGAGGCCAGAGGGACGGCGGGGAGGCCAGAGGGACGGCGGGGGAGGCCAGAGGGACGGCGGGGGAGGCCAGAGGGACGGCGGGGGAGGCCAGAGGGACGGCGGGGGAGGCGACCTCCAGACATTGGACCCACCGCGGAACCGGGCCGACCTGCCCATTGCTGTTAGGTTTCAAAAGTGTGCGGTTCACCTTATGTGAAGTATCATGGCACAGGATCAGATTTTTGGGTGTGTTAGGACTGCAAGTAGTGTTCAGAGATCGCGTAACGTAAAGGTTGTCCTTTTTTGGGGGCTGTTTGTAGCTCTGTGGTTTAGGAATCTGTGTCCATGATTGGATGGTTGTTGGTTTGAATGTTTGGTCAGCAAAGTGACTTCACTGTTGGGTCCTTGAGCAAAGCCTCTCACCCCCGATTGCTCCAGGGAGAGTCTGACCCTGGCTTCTGCATCATAAATAGTTCCTTCAATGTTAAATGTGTACTGATGACAGGAGGCAACAGTAGGGATTAAATTCCAGTGGCAGCAAAGTTATGCAGCCCCTGCAAACAGAAAATCAGTACCTGAACTAACCACCAGATGTCAGGATGCTAACAGGCTGATAAATTAGCGCCTGGTGACTAGCATGGCACTTTGAGATGGGAAGGGAAACCGGGCAGCTGATAGAGGCTGTGTCATTCAGCACGCCCTGGGGTGTCAGGGTGAGGGGAGGGGCCCTGGGGTGTGGTCGGGGGGGCTTTGATCATGGTTACCGTGGGGGAGAGAAGCTTCAGCCACCTAAATCCCATCCCCTCACCTTATCTCCTCCTCTGCAAGTGATCAGAAGCTCCTCCTAATGTCCCCTCACTCTCCCAGCCCCTCCCCTCACCCTGACACCCCCGGGCCCCTCCCCACTCCCCTCACCCTGACACCCCCGGGCCCCTCCCCACTCCCCTCACCCTGACACCCCCGGGCCCCAGGCCCTCACCTTGGTTCTGTCCTCAGGCTCCAGGCCGGTCAGCAAGATGAGCGACTGTGACTTCCCCTCCCTGAGGGACCGTCGGCTCCCCTTTAGCTTCCTCTCTCCGTCTGGCGTGCGGCTCTTCTCCCGTCCCACCGCGGGTACAGGGGTGGGGCTTGTGCTCAGTGTAGCTATACCAGCAGTGGCAGCGGTTGGCGAGACGGGGGTGAGCTCCGGGGTGGGGGACGGCGGGGGTGAGGGGCCTCCGGGGGCCTCTTCGTCTCCCACCTCTGTCACTGCCACCGCCGGTGCTGCAGGGGGCGCTGCACTTCCCTTGATGGCATTATCCTCATCGGCCTTCTCTTTCTCTCTCTCCCTCTCTTTCTCCTTTTCCCGCTCCCTCTCTCTTTCCCTCTCCTTCTCTGCGCGTGCTGCCTCCCTCAGCGGCCGGATCAGATCTGCTATGGACGTCTTCTTCACCTTCCCCTCCTGGGCCCCCTCGCCCTTGGAGCCCCGGCCGCCTCGGACCTTCTTGAAGGCAAAAAAGTCCCCGAACTTCTTCTTGATGTTCCTGGTGGGCCCAGTCGGGGGCGTGGAGCAGGCAGGTTCAGTGGCTGATGCTTTCACCAAGGGCCCCTCCTTCTGGTATTTCCTGGGTACAGCAGCAGCACAAACGGACCCCATCAGAATGTGCGTGTACAGGGTATTCATAGCAGTATTTACTGTGACGGTTAAGAATGTGGATTGTGAGCTTACTGAACCCCTGAAGGAGTCACGATGGTGTGCCATGCATGCGTGCACAATGGTCTGCAAAATGTGTATAACTGTCAACTATGTAAGCCTGCAAAGGAATGAAATAACTGAGAGTTCTGACTTTGCCTGTGTATGGTTGTGTGGGCGTGGTCATGTTAGGGGCGTGGCTGTGGTCATGTTTGGGGCGTGGCTATGGGCGTGGTCATGTTAGGGGCATGGTCATGTTAGGGGCGTGGCTGTGGTCATGTTAGGGGCGTGGCTGTGGTCATGTTCGGGCGTGGCTGTGGGTGTGGTCATGTTCGGGGCGTGGCTGTGGGCACGGTCATTGATATGACCATGGGTGGCCTCTCACAGGGGGTTGCTGGGGATGATTTTCTTGGTGAAGAACTCCTCTACGCCCTCGTCCACCCGGCCCATGGTGTCGCTGGCATCGTTCTCACTGTCGGCGGCCTGCTCCTGTCACGTGGCACAGCACAGCACAGCCCGGCACAGCACAGGTGAGTCAGGCCCAGCTTACACAGGCGTGCCAGGCCACCTGGCATGGTGGCGCTAGCCACACTTCCCCTCCACCGACAGCCAAACGAGACCGAGATTAGAGGCATCCGGGAGTCATGTTGGGAAAAGCACTATATAAAAATGAACTACAGGAACCTGGAGCCTGACTGATGGGCACTTTGTTAGACCGTTGGGAACTATGATCTTTACAAACTCATAACCATGGCAAATTTCAGGAGATTTAGCAAAGGAACTGTTGCTATCGTCATGGAGATATGAGCCGGTAACCTGAAAGCAAGTAGCTTTTAATGTTCACGTGCTTGATCAAACACATGCGACCTGCTGGAGGTTTGGCTGCAGGAGGGCCAGTCTCTCCTCAGCCTGCATGTCCCTGAGTGGTGGACTGCTGTGTGCCTGAATTCACATCTGTTTCTCCCCTGCTGAGGGAGGAGAGCAAGTGGCCGTCCCTTCTAATTACGGTACTGCTCCCCTGAAACGGTGACTCACTGTCACACACAGGCAGCCAGGCGGTAATACTTCCTTGGGTCTTCCTTACACACACACACACACACACACACACACACACACACACACCAGCACTGTACTTGGTCAGTGATGATAAAACTAATTGTCCTTGTGGGTGTGGCTTGGCAGCACCCAGTCACAAAGCCAGGGAGAGAACAGGAAAGCTGATTCCTCATTAATATGTAACACCCAACTGGGCGGAGCCACCTAACTGGGCGGAGCCACCTAACTGGGCGGAGCCACTCATATCACATAGCTACGTCAGCATCTACGTCACATCCTGCAGTATAGGCTTGTTTAAATGCATCCCTATGCAGTTTCACAGCATAAATAAAAAGGAAATCATGTCATAAACCACTTGCATCCACACCGTGTGTGTGTTCTTCTCCAAGGACACAGTGAGGACGTCAGATAAACCTACACTGTGTGTGTGTCATTGTTGAAGGAAATAGTGAGGTTGTCAGGGAAACCTGCATGGTGTGTAGTGTGTGTGTGTGTGTGTGTGTGTGTGTGTGTGTGTGTCTCGTTGAAGGAAATAGTGAGGTTGTCAGGGAAACCAACACTATGTGAGTGGGTGTGTGCTATTGTCCAAGGAGATGGTGAGGTTGTCAGGGAAACCTGCATGGTGTGTGTGTAGGTTATTTTTGTATTACATTGTGGGGACCAAATTTCCCCCATAATGTAATAAAAACCTGTTATTTTGATGACATGGGGGCCATTTTTTTCAGGTCCCCACAAAGATCTGTGAATGCAATATATGTTTGGTTACTTATGGTTAGGGGTTAAGGTCGTCATGTTGAGATTAGAGTTTTCCCCATAGAAAAATATGGAGAGTCCCCACAAAGATATAATTACAAACCTGTGTGCATGTGTGTGCTATTGTCCAAGTAGACAGTGTCAGGGACACCTACACCATGTGTGTATGGTGTTATTATCCAAGCAGACAGTGAGATTTCCAGGGAAACCTACACTGTATATGTGGAATTGTCCAAGGAGACAGTGAGGTTGTCAGGGAAACCTACACTGTATATGTGTAATTGTCCAAGGAGACAGTGAGGTTGCCAGGGAAACCTACACTGTATATGTGTAATTGTCCAAGGAGACAGTGAGGTTGTCAGGGAAACCCACACCATTATTGTCCAGTGAGACCATCAGGGAACACGCTCACGCTCTCATCCTCTCACTCGGAAGTTCACACACACAGTTTGGTCTGAGAGAGGTTCCCTTTACTACTGCCTGAAGGCACGGTCCACTGTGAAAGCATATGCAGCGGTATGGAAATCAGGCACTGCACTGGGTGACAAACATTATAAATCATTTACCGTGCCTCGGCCAATCAGCGTGCCCCGATCTTCATCATTCCACTCCAGCTCCCATTAAACAGCTAAATTCCCAGCCCACACATACACCTCTCTCACACAGACACTGAAACACCACAACAAGCAGGGAGGGAGTCATACATCCGAATGCACACAGTAGCAGACTCTCGCTGTCAGGATCTCGCCTCTCTCCCGCTGCCCAGTGCGCTGACCACGGCTCTGCACCTTTGAAGCACGCGGCGGCTCTCACGATGTGGGAACCGGAGGACGCACCCAGACTCCATATTGCACCCCCACAGGGCTACAGGATGTCCGAGGAGTCGCACTACCGGTGGTGGGGGCCTCCATCTGCCTTCACATCTCGCTGCTCCACCCGCTGCTACTATTTATATTCTATTTATGCTGCTTTTGGTTTGTATGTTCGGGCTTGTAACAGAGTTCCCCGTGGTTCCAGGAATCCACCATTTTAGTCACAACCTTGTAGATCCAATACCATCCCTGTTGGTGCATGTCTGCTAGAACAAACAATGTGCTTTTTTTGTTTCGGGAAGGCTAGAGGCTTGGTGGTTAGGGACTTTGCTCCAAGAGCCCAACACTGAAATCACACGGCTGGCCAAGGGGAATCGAACTGCCGAACTTCTGATCACAGGCACAGCATTGGAATCTGCTGAGCCACAAGCTGCCCCACATTGTCTAGCTCAGATCATTTCAAGGGTCTCCCAAAAGGAGAGCAGCACCTGGACTGGAGCTCACAACATTCCGGTGTCGAGTCCATGTCCTTCCCTGCTACTCTTCCGGCTTTTCCCATTGAAGGAGGAGGTCCCTGCTTCCAGGGTTCCGCCCTGGCCAGCGTGACAGCAGACCCCCTCACACACCGTCAGCACTGTTCCCGAGTGCCTCAAGCTTTTTTGCCGCCAGGAATGCAGACGTTTGCCCGCTGTGGTCCGGCTCCTGGAATTGTTTACCAGTCAGTCGGCGGCTGTCGCAAACCTGCGATGGACGTGAATATGACCAATCACAGAGCCGACCTTAGCTGACATCCCAGGGGTGTTAGAACAGGTCCCGAGATGAAACTACCTCATAGATCCTGACCCTCGTCCAGGTGAATGTACCTGCAGCACTAAACACCCGTTTACAGACCACACCCTCTGCTCTGCCCAGAATATCCGTTTATACCTGCGTTTAAAGGCTGCCGGTATTTGTCCGGCGATTCGCTTAGAGACAACCTCTCCTCATTTCAGTTTTTATAGACATGGAGAATCTCCTACAAGCTAACCGCCTCTTTAAATCGTGTTTGCGGTTCTGTACTGTGAACTGTATCTAGCACTTGGAGACACGGACACCCGTGACTTTAACGCCTCCATCAACATCAGAATCGTGTCCAACCAAATCTGGGTGTTTTCCACCCAAACACGTAAATACTCTCGATTCCTACCCTCTCCTGGTTCCCACTGAAGGTGGACGTCCCCTTCAGGAGCGTCAAGCTCTGTATTATTCGTATGGTGATCCGCTAAGTCTCCTTACGCAGAACCCTGAGGACAGGACCCGGAATCACGCACACGCACGGTCATAAACAGCCCTGGTGCAGAGGGGAGTGTCTGGAGAACAACCCCCCCACCCTCACCTCATTTGGAGGGTGCAGCAACAACAAATCGAGTCCTTTCGTCCTCCCCATCGCCGCGGAAACACGACGAGCACCAGCCCATCCCCGGAGAACCGGCAGCATTGTGTAGCCACCCTACCCCGGTCGCCGTGGGAACCTGCCGGGTCCCCCAGGCGTGAGCGATCGCACGCGGGTCAGCTGTGATCCTCCCAGTGGGACCGCGGACGCACGGGCCGCGGGAAAAAAAAAATGAAAATGGGCCGGCCCTCACTGCGGGGACGATATGGACGGTTACACAACAGCCCGCGAGAGCAGCGCGGAGAGCACAGGCTGGGGGGGCATGGACCGGGACACAGCGCGGGGAGCGCGCTCATGATGGCAGAACGCTAGAAGGAGGAAAAAAAAAAAATCACACATACCCCCCCCCCCCCCAAATCATGCGCTAGTGTGCACCAGCTGCTCCCTTCGACATCCCAATCACACACGCGCGCACACACACGCACACACAAACATACACACACTCCTCCGCAAAATCTCCCCGAAAGGATCATTCTAGCTATTCAAAACCCCAACCCCCCTCCTCACCCCCCCCCCAATTTCTAGTGAGAGAGTGAGGCAGAGGGAGAGAGGTTGGGCAGGCAGGCAGCTGGGGAAGAAGTCGCATCCGGAACGTGGGGACATTAAAAATTAAGATACTAACGCGGCTCCCACAGAGACATCCGCCATGGCGGGGGCAGCCCGTGTCATTCTCGCAGCCCCATCCTCGGTGCACGGCACCCACGGTACGTGGTGGGGGGGGGGCTGGACGCAGAAGGCTGCAGGAACCCTAGCCGGTACTGGGAGGAGGAGGTGCGGCGCGGAGATCAGCATCCCACTAGAACCTTGCCCAAGCCCGGCTCTCGCCCCCTTCATCCCTCTCCCCCACCTCCGCTAGCTACCCTCCCTTCCCAGTGCGTCCCAATTTCCCCAGCTTCCTCCCGGACGCAGTGCATCAGCCGGGGCTCCCTCCCCCGCCCCAGTACCTGCGGCTTGCTGGGCGGCTGCCGGTTCCGCCGGTTGGGTCGGGGCCTGCTGCTGGTGTAGTGCCTCAGCCTCTGTTCTTCGATGGGCAGGTCCATAAGGGGCCGAGGAGGTGAGGCTGCGAGCGCCGGCACTGACTGTTGCTAAGAGCAGCGGCGGCAGCATCATCCGGCAGGTGGGAGGGGCTGGGCGTCAGCTGGGCGGCCATGACTGACAGCGACGGCGATGACGACGACGTCACCGCGCCTCCCCCCGCCCCGGCTGCTGCCTGCTGACTATCTATATCCACATCCAGGAGACCTGTGGACAGGGAGGGAGGGAGGGAGGGTGAGGGAGGGAGGAGGAGGCGGGGGAGGGGCAGAGAAATGGCGAGCAAGGGAGAGAGAGAGAGAGGGAGAGCCAGGGATGGGTGAAAAATAACAACAAAAGAAGAAAAGGTGTGAAGGACTGAAACATAGCTGCAGCACAGTGATTCACAGAGGAGGAGCGAGCAGGAGAGAGAGCAGGAGAGAGGGGATGGTGATGGGGAGGAGCGGCCGTGCACCGGGGAGGGAGGAGAGAGAGGAGGCTCAGGATGCAGGCGCGAGCGGATTGCCCCGAGCTGCTGGTGCTCAGCGGGGAGGCGTCGAGATGGGGGAGTGAGTGCGCCTCCATCAGCTGGTCACCCCCCCGCTCTCAGACCCAGCCAGTCATGCTCCAGTTAGCCTCGGCTCTGTGCACGCAGGGGGGAGCCCGTGCAGATTATCTGTTGTTGTCGAGGGTGGGGCATAGGGGAGTGTGGCTGTGTAATCCAGCTAAATCTCCCTGTGACCCCATGAGGTCAAAGCTCCTTCCCCTCGTCTCCATGGCGAGACCCCTTAACCCTTTCAGCACCATGGTAGCTGCCCACGCCCCCGCCCACCCCCCCAATCTGCTCATAATACTGATTATTCTCTTCAGTTCATTTTGCTAAATGTTATTTTTCCGCAATCTACAAATTACACGCTGCTTCATTTTGTCCACTCTCTTTAAAACGCTTTAGTTTTTCGTTGCCATTTAAATTATTTCGCTTTTTTCCACGACCTTTGTTTACAGCTCGCACTTGGTCACTGGCCTAATGGGGGCAGTCAGACACGACCTCTGACCCCTCCAGATGGCATGTGCGTGCGGAACCATCGCCTGGGTATCGCGCTGGGAGCAGGTGAGAGTGAGGCTTGGATCGCCGCTGAGCAGCGTGGGACAGACACAGATCAGATACAGGACTGACTCGGGACATGGGATATTTTGTCCTATGCTGCTATGAAAAAGCATAAAACACCAGATAATGTGAGAGTCAGACCACTAAGCACACGCCCATGAGTAACAGCGACCATCCACCACAAGGGGGCGCCCAGTTTTAAAGAGACACTTACACATCACGCGCATCCAAAGACTACATCTGAAGGGTTTCATACGTTGGACCCGTGTGCCATTTCTGTCCCTCCATCTGCTTCTTCCGCCCTTCAAAGAGCTTCTCCTAATCAAAGGTGGCTCTCGGGCCCCAGGGCCAGCCTGCAGACGGCAGGAGAGGAGAGAGCCCAGTGCCGGGCTGGTGGGGGGGGGGCACCCCTCCCCCCGCAAGGCTGTTCATTTTTAATCACTGAACGTTCACCCTTCAGCAGGTTACAGCTTCCAGAACACACTTCTATGGGAGCGTCGTGGGGGGCATGGATACCCTGGCAGATTCGGGGGGCCAGAACTTTACAGGGTACATAAAATTATATGCA